CCATAAGAAGATGTTTCATGCTAAACACCTAAGCTCTAGCTCATTGGGTTTTTTAAAAAAAGATTTTTTAAGTTTTTACTATACACATATAGACATATACATGTAGTTAAAAACAATGACACCCCTGGGGCGGGGCCAGTTTTGACCCCAGGGCTTTTATTTAAACAAACTTTGTAGACACTTATTAGAAGATGTTTCATGCTTAATATCTAAACTCTAGCTATTTGGGTTTTTTCAAAGAAGATTTTTTAAGTATTTGCTATACACATATAAGGAAATCAATGACCCCCGAGGCGGGGCCAATTTTGACCCCAGGGCTTTAATTTGAACAAACTTTGTAGACACTCACTAGAAGATGTTTCATGCTTAATATCTAAACTCTAGCTATTTTGGATTTTTTCAAAGAAGGTTTTTTAAGTTTTTGCTATACACATATAAGGATAATCAATGACCCCCGGGGCGGGGCCAATTTTGACCCCAGGGCTTTTATTTGAACAAACTTAGTAGACACCCATTAGAACATGTTTCATGCTAAATATCATAGCTCTAGCTCTTTGAGATCTTTAAAAGAAGATTTTTTAAAAGTTTTTACTATATGCATATAGGGAAAATCAATGACCCCCCTGGCGCGGGGCCAATTTTGACCCCAGGGCTTTTATTTGAACAAACTTGGTAGACACTCACTAGAAGATGTTTCATACTAAATATCTTAGCTCTAGCTCTTTGGGTTCTTTAAAAGAAGATTTTTTAAGTTTTTACTATATGCATATAGGGAAAATCAATGACCCCCTGGGTCGGGGCCAATTTTGACCCCAGGGCTTTTATTTGAACAAACTTGGTAGACACTCATTAGAAGATGTTTCATGCCAAATATCTAAGCTCTAGCTCTTTGGGTTCTTTAAAAGAAGATATTTAAAGTTTTTTCTTTCGGTTGCCATTGCAACCAGATTTCTGCATGGAATTAAATTCTTTGAACAATTTTTAAAGGTGACCACCAAAGGAACATTCCTGTGAAGTTTGGATGAAATTGGCTTAGTGGTTTATGAGGAGATGTCATTTGAAGCAAAAGTTTACGGACGCCGGACGGACGACGGACGGACGCCGGACAGACGCCGGACGAAAAGCGATCACAAAAGCTCACCCTGTCACTTTGTGACAGGTGAGCTAAAAACAAACTAGAAATGTGTCATCATGCCACGGATGCCCCCGCATGCAGCCAAAATTTCAGATGGTTCATTAATTATTTTTTTCATTTTAAGTTCAAAGCCCTTAAAACGTTTCAATGTTAACACAAACAATTTTCATACAATGTTCAAGGCATTGAAACTATCCAGTCTTAACCTTTAGAAAATAGCATATTGCATATTTGTAGCCAAAATAATGGCTAAAAGTAAGAGTGCTGAAACTGAAAGTTCAAAATTTTTCCAACATTCAGGAAAGGTAAGTTTGTCTTAAATCATTGAACTACAACCAAATTCAAACTTAAACTGCTTATTCCTAAGATGTATCTATATTATTTTCAAAGTGAAAGGGACATAACTCTGCCAAAAAATCATCAAACCATGACCATATTCCAACTTGACCTGCCCATTCCTTTGACATATCCATATGTAACACTGTTGGGTAGATAATGAACAGAAACTGTAAATTTCATATTATTTTCAAAGTGAAAGGGGCATTACTCTGCCAAAAATCATTGAACTATGACCAAACTCGAACTTGGCCTGGGCATTCCAAAAACATATCCATATGTCCAATTTGAGTTGAATGTGTTGTACCATTGGGGAGATAATGAACGGAAACTGAAAATTTCATATTACTTTCAAAGTGAAAGGGGCATAACTCTGCCAAAAATCATTGAACCATGACCAAATTTGAACTTAACCTGCGCATTCTTTTGACGCATCCATATGTCAAGTTTTAGTTGAATGTGTTGTACCTTTGGGGAGATAATGAACGGAAACTGAAAATTTCATATTATTTTCAAAGTAAAAGGGGCATAACTCTGCCAAAAATCATCGAACCATGACCAAATTCGAACTTGACCTGTATTTTCTCATGACATATCCATATGTCAAGTTTGAGTTGAATATGTTGTACCGTTGGGGAGATAATGAACGGAAACTGAACATTTTATATTATTTTCAAAGTAAAAGGGGCATAACTCTGCCAAAAGTCATCGAACCATGACCAAATTCGAACTTGACCTGTATTTTCTCATGACATATCCATATGTCAAGTTTGAGTTGAATGTGTTGTACCGTTTGGGAGATAAGGAACCGAAACTGAAATTTCATATTATTTTCAAAGAAAAAGGGGCATAACTCTGCCAAAAATCATCGAACCATGACCAAATTTAAACTTGACCTGTATTTTCTCATGACATATCCACATATCAAATTTGAGTTGAATGTGTGCAACCATTCTTAAGATAATGAACGGAAACTGATAATGACGGAAGGACGGAACAGGGTAACACTATATGCCCCGGCCATTACATGGCGGGGGCATAAAAAAACTGCCAGTCTTTTTAATGACACTATATATTCAAACTTTGACCACCTATAGTGTGTAGAATTTAAAACATATCTACATAGTGTGAAGTCTAAACATGTTAAGTATATATTTACTGTGTAGAAATTATCAATATTTTTTAATGTCAAATATGAGCATATTTTATCTTAAACAGGTTGTAAGCTTACATAACCTGGAACCTAATTTGATAAAATACTAACAATGTAATTCAATTATAATTTCATATGATAATAAATCACTGAACTTACCAAACTGGGATGAGTATGCATGCTCAAACAGAAGTATAAGAAAATCTTCACTGAACTCAAAAGAACATGGAAACTGTTGCCAGATCTAAACAATAAACAAGTCATTTTATTCTTAAGTATTGCAAAGATCACCTTAAGTTTCCTATTTAACATTTACATGTATATTTGTCATCAAGGAGAAATGTCTCTAAGAGTTCTAAATGACAAAATCACCGGCTAATATTACAATAAGAGGTCCATTCATTCTAACAGACATAGTACAGTGATTTCATAAGTTATTTCCTTATTGTTAGATTTAAATCACACTGACACTATATAGGTCATATGGCAACTTTCCAACTTTACTAGTGGAGGAAAACCTAAGGTGCCCCTTAGTGAAATATTTAAGGCACAAGCAGGCACCTGAATTGAACTAACATCCTTTCGTAAGCTAGCTGGATAGCTTCCTCACATAGAAGAATCCAAAGTTCCTGACAGGATTCGAATCCATGACCAAGACATACCAGACCAGTGGCTTGAAGTTGCAGACCTTAACCATCCAAGCATGGAGGCCCCTATTTAATATGAAGAGTGCCATTACTAGGTTTTTGAAAGGCCAAATTGCAAACTAAATATACAAAATTATGCTAAGTCAAAGTTGAAATTCAACCTTCAGCACTGTACACTATTATTCCATCTAGACTGCAGAGAAAATAAGCCCATTCTCATAATCATAATCTGAGTGCCCTATACAGTTGTACATAATACCCAACCAAACACAAGCCTTACACTTCTAAATATAATACATACCCCCGCCAAACACAATATTTACACATCTAAATTTAGCATTATCTATAGACATCTTAATATAGCATACTCCTTTGCCCAACACAATCTTTACACATCTTAATATAGCACACTCACCTGCCATACACAATCTAAAAATAGCAAGAAGACAGGAGACTCTTGTCTATATTTAGTTATTGCATTAGCAGACTTAGCACATCGGTCAGCAAAGGGATGTCCAGCCTGAAGCCATTCTCTTTCAATCAAGGCTTCAAATCTGTAAAAGAAATCAGTGTTATTACCCATAACAAACATATAATCAAAGGGGAAAAATATCAAAATAACTCTTCAGTTCATTAACTTAAATGCCTAAAGCATTAGGAAAATGCTATAGTGTCATTAGCAGTAATTAACAAATATTGTGCTCAGTTGGGGTTAAGCAATAATTGGCAATTCAGGGATTTACATTACTTTTATTTTTCAGGTGTCCTTTAGAAGTAGATTTTGTAATAAAAGGGGTCCAACCACTGACACTGGGGTTCAGTCAATAATTCATGGTGTCCAACAACTAATTTCAGGAGTTCATCTCCTTACTTCACTCAAGTATGCACTTATTATATCTTATACAACAAAAATGTGTGTACTGCGAAGAATTTGAACTTTTCTTAATGTTAAGCAGCTAGATTTATAAAGCCAGCAGCATATTTGTTATGCATCAACTTGGGTGCAAGAGCTTGATAATTGTGCATCCAAAAAAAAAAGGATTTTAATGAGTATACTGATGCAAGACCCTGCATTCAGTAAATCCTTAGCAATAGGGTAGGCATTTAAAGTAATGTTTCTCATGAGTAAGTTTTATTCCCAATCCATGGTTTTTCCCTTCCCCATAGGTGGCTCTATATAAAATTCAGCATATCTGTCATAAATGGGTGAAATAAAACCAGCAAGATAAACTATTTATTATCCATGTATACAACAGACTCAAGTTTGAAGTGAATTTCTCAGGTGTTTGTTGATAAAATTAGGAAAGTATAGATATTAAAATGGGGTAATTAAACACAAAAAACTTTAAGGATTATCTGCCCTTTAGAAATGCATTCCAAATTTGAAATTCCTAAATTTAAAGTAAATATTTTTGATAGTTTTTGAGAAATAAAAAATACCAAAAAGGTTACCTGGGGCAAAAAATCTACAAGTCAACAAGAATGATTCAATCTATTTAAACAGTACTGGCATGCGAGCAGTTCCCGTACAAAAATCATAGTTACTTAATCATTATTTTTTATTACGCTCACTCACCAATATTTGAATGTTACACATCAATATTCGGCTCGTCACACAAATCATGGAAATTCCATCATGTTCTAAACATAGAATAACCCTTACTTATGAGGCCTCATATGGCGTACCGAAATTATCCATTATTTTGTATGAAGAGAAGTAGTTCCCGTACATAAAATCTAACCCATTATAATTATACAATTTTATTATATCGGACCTATTTTTCATTTACAATTGTTGAACAGACCATTATCTAAGAGATAAATAGATGTAATTCAGGAAATAGAGCGTAGATTAAACGCGGGTATCTATTACCCGGTACCGTTACCCCAACACATTCATATGCAGTAACATGCTTGTATGCATGATATTTTACGCATCAAAGCCATAAAATTATTATTTATAGTAATATTGGTCAACATTCTGATAATTAATCAATTTTTCATATCATTGCCTACTTATTTGTAAACAGGTGGTATTAGTGGAAAATCCTTTAACAAGCCTCACGTGTAAGTATTTTTGCGCATGCGCGCAAGGACGGAATCCCCCAGAGAAAACAAGGTCACGTTTTGACGACGCACAGGTGAAAGTGATTTAAAATGAGACTTTATATACGTACTGCCGAACTGACAATTAGATTTTGTCTCGTTTATGTATCTGCTTGATTTGAAATGAATTTTTGAAGAATGCAAGTAAAAATCAAGCGTTTAAATGAAAAATACGGGTACTGCTTCTGTACGGGAACTGCTCGCATGCCAGTACACTTTGTTTTCATATATTTTTTGAGAAAATGGAAACAAAACCAAGCATTTTATTTTTCCTGGAGTAGGAACTACTCACTAAGTTACTGATATGCTGTTATGACAGGCATATGAATTTTAAGTCAATACATTCATGTAACAACTTGAGCAATTTATATATAAATATAAAACATGTATATGCATTTCATCCAATGAACATGACCACTTTTTATTCAGGTAGGTTAAAAAGTGTGTATATGTTATATCATACCAGTGAAACTGTATGACCTTTGATCAGATGTTTTATATTACATAAACAGTTGTTTATATAACATAAAATATTACCCTGTAAAAGTTCTACAATCATGGTCAAGAAGAAGCTGTGCTAACGACGTAACTTGTAGTGTCGTGTCTAAACCTTCTGACCCATGTACCAACACACATGCGGCTAAAAATAGAACAAACTATAAACAGAATGATAAAAAGTTTTCCTTATTAAACAGAGGCTAAGCTCTTCAGAAGCTACAATATAGCAGGCAACAGTACATTATCTGGTAAGACTGCACTTACAATAAGTTTGTATGTTTGATAAGGTTTTAAGTCCCACCGACACAGTATAGGTCATTTGGCGACATTCCAGCTTTACAGGTGGAGGAAGACCTCAGGTGCCCCTCCGTGAATTATTTCAGGCCAAATGGGCACCTGTGTAGAACCACTGACGTTGCATAAGCTAGCATGAAAGATTCCAAAGTCCCTGTCGGGATTAGAACCCACAGCGGTTTGAGGGGCAAGTGATTTGAAGTCAACGACATTACAATAAGATCCCCATGACATTCTGCCAGTGACATGGACATGTTATTATCGCTACTTACACAAAGACAAGTCAATCCTATGTTAAATAGGTGATATTAAATAGAGACGGTCCAACATTATTTGATAAGTTGAAAAATTGCCATTATAAATTAATTGCTCTCACAAAACATAAATGCGACATAAGTTTAAGGTATCTATATCAGTGATAAATTTTGCAAGTTGTTTGTTACTTTATAACATACTTGAAGCCAGATGAATGATGCATGAATACTCATTTTAAGATTTTAAGTTTGCTCTTGTCAAGATCGTAGTCTTTAAAATGGTAAAGCAGATTAAACACATATAGAACAGATGAATATATACTTACAAAGACTTAAACATTACTACCTGCATTCATTTTGTCAAAATGTATCATAATACTGTATCATGATACAACAAAGATATCATGATAATATCAAAATACTTTTGCAGTAGCGATACCCAATTCTAATGTCAACTTCTTGTTTGTACTTACAGTCTTTATCAATACATTGGGCCACGAGACATGCACATGTGATGATATCCTTTACATGTGATAACCAGTTACTGGACTCTAGCTTAGACAACCATTTATCCTGGCTGGCCCCTGTGTCCGAACATGCTGAAAATAGAGATCAAAAAAATAATTTTTTGTAGCATTTATAAAAGAAATTATCTACGCTTTTGGGACCCGGACCCAGCCATCAAGGAAAATTTTATGCAGTAATGTATATAGGGGGAAAATAGTTTTGACTGAACACAAACTATTAACTCTGAATAATCATCAACAACATTTTGCAAAAACTAACAATATTTAGCAATTAGATACAGGTCTCTTTCACGGCCATATCTAAAAAAGAAAAAAACAAAAGAAACACTGCATTGTTTATTTTACCTTCATTCAGTTTGATGACAGACTCATGGAAGACATGACGCCTCTCTATTGACTGATTGATTCTCTTCCACTGAGAATAATGGGCCTCGGGCTCGTACCCTCCACCTTTAAATAAATAAACAATTCATTCCAAATTATAGAGTTATCACTATCCTGGAAAAGGGAAGTTTTGTTAACTTCTGTTCAATCTGATTATCATACTTTATGCATGATATTTAAATAACTTCAACAAACAACCAGTGATAATAAGAATTATCACATCACATAACTTGTTTTCTATTAAATATGTTCATGTTTATTCCATGACAACATTTTTGCTTGTATATTTTACCAGATAAACAGCACACATAAATCATAAAGCTTTGTGTTCATTAATTTTAATGTATTCAGTCATGTGATTAAAAGAATCTCATATTTGTAGTCAATCATATACAAGTACAATATAAAATTTTATTAAACTTGTCCAAGAAAATGTTATACATAACAATTTAGTTAACTTTTTTGTTAAATTTGTCTTAAATGGCAACTTGTGTAAGATTCTATAGTCAAATATTAAGAAAATACAAATGTAGTATTAAAGGGGAATATTGATTTTCTTCAATACATCAGACACATTCAAATGGTGTTCCTATCTTGCCATTGCAAAAAAAAATTGAAATATTATCAAGATGTCTCCAAACAAACATTTGCTTAAGAATGTTCAAAGCTTGACAGAGGTAGGATTTGATCAGGGATTTACTTAGAACAAATCACACATGGCACTTCTGAGCCTCATCATATCGCAGCATAGTAAAATCCAAGTTCAAGATTGGTACTCTTAATATAATAACGCTATTATATTTCCGATGATCTTACTCACCAGTTTTCTGTTCCTGTTTCACAAGGCCTTGCGATCTTGTATCTATAATATAACCACGCTTCCCTATACCGAGCACAGCATTAACTAGCCTCTCGTCTTCTTTACATCTTTTACCACTCGTCCCTGTTAGTGGCTGACTACACCGCATTAACACTGCCTGAAAGTGGAAACCTTTAACTTTATCCATCAAGCTGAAAATTACTGGTTTGGTTTATCTGACTTATTCCATAGACAGCAGTGAAGTCTGTCAAAAATTCTTAATTAAGATTTATCAAACAGCTTGATTGCTTTCTTTGATTAAAATTTGAGAAAATTGCATGTATATAAAACAACAATGCTACGGTCTATCATCTTGATTAGTGTTGCAAAGTGTTCTGGGTTTATTACTATGTAGCTTCCGTCGAAACACACTGTGGTAAGAAACCAACATTGCACGATATTCTCTATAATATTCAATCAAAATATGCCATCATGTGTTACAGTGCAACCTCTACAGAGTGAATGTACCCTCTTTCCAGCAATTACATCTCTTCAACAAGACTATCATTTCTTTCCTCTTGTGCAACACACCTTAGCAACAACCAAAATACATATATCTGTTTCCTAAAGGGTGTTGCTGTGCAGAGATTGTACTGTACAGAACTTCAAATACTTTGCACATGTACAAACATCTTTATTTTCTTTTTTTTTTATAAACATTTAACAGTGTAATGAACATTGGCATTTCAAACACATTTAAATAAAGGTGTTGTTTAGCATTTCGTTTTTGAGTAGAAACATCAGTTTTATATGTTTTTTTTAATATCAATCAATGTATTATTACAGTAATTATTGCAATTTAAGTTGACTGTATCGCAATTTATCCAAAACATGGCTTTGATTACATTGCCTCACCACAAATAAATGTCAATTTATCATGACATGGTTTTGATCACATTGTTGTATCACAAATAATTACCAATCATCAACTTCAAAAGTGTCATTGTGTTCATTATTTTAGTCAGTCTTTAGTCAAATTAAAGACCCGACCTTGCTATCTCTGTGGTAATAACTGAGCACAGGAAACCGTCCACCTTGCCGGAACTGAGATATCTTCACCAACATTTCATCTGTGATTGATTTTGGCACAAACATTGACTTTGGATATGTTAAACAGAGCTGAAATAACAAAGAGAGAGAACATCAGACAATCCTCTCAGCACCAAGAATTCAGATACAAGTTGGCATCCAAGTAGAGCCAATGAGCAGAATAGCTTCCTATAAAATAACAAAAGCAAGGCTGGCCAGGCACTATATATATTTTTTTTAAAATGTGCTACATGCAAAGACTGTAATTTCTTTCTGTTCCATCAGGGTAAAGATTGTAAGAATAATACATCGGCTGACGTTACAGACTAAAATATTCACCTCGAGGGTAAATGTTTACGTCAGTTAGGAGGCTATTACAAGTTTCAGAAAAACATTTACACAAGAGCTAGATATTCCCTCGAGTTATGACGGCCAGTGTTTGATTCTTTTCCTTGCATATATCATATAAATCATAAAATTCTGAAAAACTAATATTTTACATTTTTCCTTCTTTTTTTCTTATAGTAAGTAGCATATGAATTTATTGTACAACTTCATTCAAAACAACAAAATGACCCGAGTAAACAGTAGATAATCCTGTCTTATATGGAAGATTAATGTATACATACTTTATAATCAGAATTAACTGTTGTAATTCTCCACTCCTCAGCACATTCCTTGTACCGGCTCCATTCTGACTCAAGTTTAAAAGCCTGCCAACCATCCTCAAGAATTTCAAATGATGGGCGATAAAAAAACGGATACTTTAATGTTACATCATCTGCAAAATTTAATCAAATCATTTAGAAAACTTGATAAAATTATATGAATCTCATGAATATTTACAAACATATAACAATTTAATGTTGTACCTTTATATTTCCATGATGGTATGGCTGAATGAGTAAAGTTTTGGTGTTCCTTTTTTGTTTGACTGTAAGTCAAGGTCTAAAGCTGATGTTTCAACTTTATCAACAGAGAAGCCCTAAGGTATCCCTTCATGTGTCCTCATGTTTCCCCCATTTGTCCTCAGGTATCCCTCCATGTGTCCTCCGGTATCACTCCATGTGTCCTCAGGTATCACTCCATGTGTCCTCAGGTATCCCTTCATGTGTCCACAGTTATCTCTCCATGTGTCCTCAGGTATCACTCCATGTGTCCTCAGGTATCCCTTCATGTGTCCACAGTTATCTCTCCATGTGTCCTCAGGTATCCCTCCATGTGTCCTCAGGTATCCTTCAATGTGTCCTCAGGTATCACTCCATGTGTCCTCAGGTATCACTCCATGTGTCCTCAGGTATCCTTCATGTGTCCTCAGGTATCCCTCCATGTGTCCTCATGTATCCTTCAATGTGTCCTCAGGTATCACTCCATGTGTCCTCAGGTATCACTCCATGTGTCCTCAGGTATCCTTCAATGTGTCCTCAGGTATCACTCCATGTGTCCTCAGGTATCCCTTCATGTGTCCACAGTTATCTCTCCATGTGTCCTCAGCTATCATTCCATGTGTCCTTAGGTATCCCTCAATGTGTCCTCAGCTATCACTCTATTTGTGCTCAGGTATCCCACCATGTGTTCACAGCTATCCCTCCATGTGTCCTCAACTTTTCCTCCATGTGTCCTCAGGTATCAATGCATGTGTCCTCAGCTATCATTCCATGTGTCCTTCGGTATCCCTCAATGTGTCCTCAGCTATCACTCTATTTGTCCTTAGGTATCCATCCCTCCATGTGTCCTCAGCTATCCCTCCATGTGTCCTAAACTTTTCCTCCATGTGTCATCAGATATACATACATGTGTCCTCAGGTATACATCTTTCTATCATCTTTCATCATTTAAATCATATGCTAGCTTATGTCTTTACTAAGATTCAAGTCCCTAAGCAAAGAGAAGTTTTCTCTCCAATACAAGTCATGCTGCCTGAATCAAATTTCTTATCATAGAGAGCACAGCACAGTAACTAATGACTACAATCAGCATTTACATTGGAAACCACTAGAGACTTTAGTCTCTTGACACAATCTGTATTACTGAATAATAAAGTATGAGTCAAAAATTTTGGGGAATGGTAGTGGTTATAGTATCTGCCTCTCAACCAAGAGATCAAGCCCTACTTTGGCCACCATCATGTTTCCTCATGTGACACCAGTACTGGTTTGTTCTTGGAAGGGAACTTGGGAGAAATTCAAGCTTCAAGCTTTCACCACAATCAAGTATAAATAACAATGACAATGAGACACCGTAGTTATTCTTTATTTTATTTAGTTATTCTTTGCTGAAATAATAAAACTTAAAGGAGCTGCACTGAGGTTAAAAACATAGATTTTGAATTCTTATATAGATCAATCAAGTGATGCACTTAAAATGGAAAAATCTGCAAAATATAATAAAGCACTAAACATATAGATCATTTTATCACCTATTTTTAACTTGTTTTGAGCATCGCAACGCTTTTCATTCTTGTTTACCATTTTCCAAAATAAAAAAATTATCTGGAAAAACAGAGTGAATTAATGATCTGAAATTTTACACACATGTTATTAGTCCAGACCTACATCAAATGTTACAAAAGTCTGAGTTAATATAAGTAAGTCTTACCTATATTGGACAGTTGTTCTATCGAGTTAGCAACATTAATACAGTCCTCTGCTGAAGGTATATCGAGAGATAGGAGGGTAAAGTCCTTGCAGCGATCAAAAATCACACCACCTGATCCAATCAACCTTTTCTCTACACTATCAACACTTGTGTGCAGCAGCTGTTGTTAATAGTTAATGAAAAAATAAATTAATAAATGGATGGAAATGTGATTGTTTTTTTTATACATTAAGACATCAATCTATATACGAATCCTATAGAAATGTTGTACCGACTATCTCAGTCTCATCTGACATTTCAATTAATTCCTTTTTTAAATAATCTAACATTGCTAAAAATTAAGTAAAACGATTAACATAAAGCTGACAATTACCAACACTTGTAATGATTTTATTTGACTTTACCCGTAATTCAGTGTAATCTGACATTACCTAAAAGTCTAACTTGACATGAATTACCCATTATTCAATATAATCTGACATTTTCCATATTTCAATCAAATCCAACAGTAAACATAAATTACATGTAATCTAA